GAAACCCAAGGAGGGGTCGCTATGAGTCAGGGCTGACTTGACGGCACATAACAACAACAACATATATATATATAAATATATATATACACTTTGCTGGTTTTTGTGTTTCTCTAGAGAACCCAATCTAACACACAGATAAAAACAAGCAAACTAAAAAACAGAAAAAAGAGGAAAAAAAATTGGGGGAGGTCAGGGAAGGGCACCCAGGCTCTGTCAGAGCACACAGACTGGGATGGAGTTCCTGTGGGCCCAGAAGGTGGGTGGGAGTGGGGGGATGGCCGCACCTCCATTTACCAAGAGGGTGTGGGATATAAGAGTAATAAGGGGAATGTCGCACCTTTACAGTTGCCCAGGTCCGGAATGTCCTTGGGCTTACTGGCAAGTGTGGCCTGTTCCCTGGAATCTGGAAGAATGTTGTCGCTTTAAATACCCAAAATGATCAAGCTACTTGTAAACATTCAAAATGGCTATGCCCTCCAGACAAATGTCCACAGCTCAGCCTGCAATCTTCTTCACTGCCTCCCCTTTTATTCCGAAGCCACCAGAGCAGTCTTCCATGCAGTCCCTGGCTAGCAGGGCTGATTTTTCAGTTAATTATGTCCTACCACTACTCAGTAATATCCAAGCTGTCTGTACTGTCAGGATCACTCAGGACTGCAGCCAGACTGTGGCCAGAAGATTCCAATAATGGTATACACAAAAAGAGATTTACTAGCCAAAGATTTCTGAGTTCCACCAACTTCGCCTCTGAACAGCAGGAAGTCGGTAGAATGAGTTGACACCCTGTTCCCCAAAAATATGGAACAGTAACCACTCAAAGGGTGGATTGATGCCAAATCAAATTATAGTTCAATTCCCCATCCTTTCCATAATTATCCCCCACCCTGCTTGGAGACACATAAGCAGGCATGAAAACTCATTTCCTTAAAAACTGAGTTGAATAGAAGCTCTAGCCCACATCCTTTCTATTATCCCCCACCCAAGTTGGAGACAGATGAATAGATATGAAAATGCGTTTCTTTAAAGTTGTTTTTCAGAAACAATGGATCCCAACTTGAAATCGGTTAAAACTAGCTCAGAACTAACATGTCCCCCTCTGCATGTGCCCCGATCAGCTGGGGACAGGAAGTTGGTATAACTCATCTGGTGCACAAGTGCACTGCATTAAAAATTGACCGTCTTTGGTCTGGCAACAACCTGTAGCCTGTGATGTCACTCATACCATGGCTGGAGTGTCACTTGAAACTCCAAGTATGACATATGGGTTAAAGGCCCCAGTGGGAGCCACATTTATCAACCTCAAAGCCTCAGGGAACAGTTTTTCCCATCTCATCAAGAAAGTCTTGCCTGATAATCTAACCATGAATCCATTACTAGCTATGTTCCCTTATGTATCTCTCCACGATTGTGCAGAGCAGATGTTGGTGTTGTCATGAGCACGCTCTGCAATTTTATACGTCAGCCACCAAATAACTTTATTGTTATTTCGGTCACTTTGGCTATATTCCAGCCAAACATGGGCACCACGGTGTCTGCTTTTCTGGTGAATCCAGTGGCAGCTTCCCCTTCTTGAAACGGTTCTAACTTGTGCTATAACATCTGTTTCTTGGTTCCCTGGTGGGGAAAGACATGAATGGACTGCTACATGAGAAACAACTTGTTTGCAGGCCATCCCAAATGCCCTGCCCCCACTAGATCTTGTCCATTATCTTCCACTGTTCCTTATGTCCTTGGTCAATGGACATAGTTAACACACAGGCTATCACCTAGCTGTTTTACAAAATGCCAGAGTTGTGAATGATCACCATCCTCACAGCCCTTAATTTGACCTATTGATTGATTTGCCCTGAGCCAATTTCACATACCTTGGCTAGAGCCATCAGTGTACCAGGAATCTGCTTGCAATGGGCTGTCCCCTATCTTGAGAGAGAGAGGAGCTGGCTCCAGTAGCATTGTAGTCTGTGTTGGGGGATCATCTTGACTTGTGGACCTTTTCATATTGTCCCCAATGTTGTTAATTGTGTAACCCAGATTTTCTCAGAAGCTTGCTGCTATTCTTGCCCCAGCCTTAGGGGGCACTCTTTTTTTTTTTTTTTTTTTACAAGTTGATAGAGAAGTCTCATGGATTGCTCCAAGTGGGGTATGAATACCTTGCAATACCCCACAAGCCCCACAAAGCCCTGCACTTCTTTTGGAGTCTTAGGGATGGGTAGGCTTGTACCTTATTGATGATGGCTTCAAGTGACACCTGGTATAACCCCTAGGAATTTTTCAGACAGTATCAATCCTGCACTTTGGGTCCTCTCCCCTGTAGGTGGGTGATAAGAGTGTTTAGACAATCCTATAACAGAGAAACATCTTCAGCAGTTAACATGATGTCATCAATGTACTGAGACCAATAGACAGCAGTGGGGAAAGAAAAGTGCCCAGTAATTGTACCAAGAAGCTCTGGTGGTTCAGTGGTCAAGGCATTATCTGCTAAACAAAAGTTGATGGTTCAAACCCACCAGCCACTCGGCAGAAGAACAATGAGGAAGTTTGCTCCACAAAGATTTACAGCCTTTTATAAGAACCACCATATACATACAACTAACAGGAGACAAAGTTAGGATAATTTTTTAGCTACAGTCAACCACCCTGATGGAGCGAGTTGTTGGACTTTTGGACCAGGGATCATGGCCATGGGGACATCAAGTTCTATTGGCCTAATATACTACACAAATACATTGTTCTATATCCTACTTTGATGAGTAGCACTGGGGTCTTAAAAGCTTGCAAGTGGCCATGTAGATGTAACAGTCGGTCTCTCCTCATCTGGAGCAAAGAAGAATGAAGAATACCAAAGACATATGGGAACAATTAATCCAAGGTACTAGTGGACCATGTGAACCTCAGCCTATATGACCATGAGACCAAAAGAACTAGATAGTGCCTGGCTACCACTCAGCCACTCAGGAAGGGATCAGTGCAGGACATGCTAGATAGAGTGGGGTAACAATATGGAACAAAACTCAAATTCATAAAAGAGAAAAAAACAAACAAACAAACAGCAGTTACTCGTCTGATAGAGCTTGATGAAACCCCAATGATTGTGGCCTCCTCACCCATGAGGTAAGGAACTGAACTCATTCCAGTGGCTTCCAGACAAACTGTACATAGGCATATAAGGTGAACATTTACACCAGGTAGACACACTCCTTAGAATAGTCAATGAATCCTGGGAGAACAAAAGGGCAGTATTCAGAGGGCAGGAATGCATAGGAAAGAAAGACACGCAGGAAGTGGTAACCACAGGGAGGAAGTTGAAAGAGCTATTACATTATGGGGACTGTATTCAATGTCATTAAACAAAATGTGTATGAACTGCTGTATGGAAAATGAATTTGCTTTGTAAACTTTCACCCAAATCACAGTAATAATAGTAATAAATGCTCATGGCTAGTATATGGATGAACTGGAATTTAGATTCTCAAAGTTGAACTCTGAGACACTGAACTATGCAACTTTCTTGATTATAACAACCTTTGTTGTTGTTATTATGTGCTGTGGAGTGGAACCTGATTCATAGCGACCCCTCCTTGGGTTTACGGGGCAGTATCACTAGGAGCTCTGGTAGCATAGTGGCTAAGGCACTTGACTGCTAACCAGAAGGTTGGCGGTTCAAACCCACCAGCCACTCCTTGGAAGGAAGGTTGGGCATTCCTACTTCCGTAGTGATACTGCCTCGGAAACCCAAGGAGGGGTCGCTATGAGTCGGGGCCGACTCGATGGCAAACAACAACAACATCACTATGGAATTACATTGCCCAACCTTCTTTCAAAGGAGTGGCTGGTGGGTTTGAACCACCAACATTCTGGTTGGCAGTCAAGTGTCTTAGGCACTATGCTAGCAGAGCTCACATATGAATTTTTTTTTTTTATGTATTCAAGGTTTTAAAAGACTTATGGTTAAAGCACTTAATTGTGAAATGTTGTTTCAGATTGATATTATTATGGAGGCAAACGACATCAACAGGTGTGTTGTTTAAGATAATGTTGAACAAATTGGACCATTAATCCAAAGAAGAATTTATCACTTCTTAGACTTAGTTTAGTAGAGGCTTTTTTTCCACTCATAATTTTGATCCAGAACACAGAAAAGGGGCATATCTCACATATCCATTATCCCACAAATGTTTCCTACTGGAAAGGGCAATGAGGCAAGTTGGCCTTGAAGACAGCTCAAATACCACTACCTTATTATTTACTACTTCTCCAAAGAACATTATAAAAGTTTGTAAATGGCCAAATATATGAATACTAACTTTCTCTTCCCCTCAAGGGTATCTTTGATTATTGAAATCCGCGTTTCAGTTCACAAAGACATTGAAAAAAACCTAGGCTTTTCTCTAAAGAGGAAAAGACAACCGCAAGTCCCCAAACACAAAGTGGAACCAATTAACACCACGGTCACAAGTTAGGGCCCTCTGTGTTTCTGTCCGGATCCCACCCCTGAAGCTCTAAACCCCCAGAAACCGGAAGCGGAGCGGTACGTCCTCGGGCCAGGTCTCAAGTCGCCTTTGGTCGCGCTATTTCTCGGGTCTGAGGTAGTTTTTCTTGCGTCGCCATTCGCCCTGTCCCTTGGCAGGTTCCCTGCAGGCTCCGGCCGCGGGTCCGAGGCGCTGCCTCCGCTTTCTTGCGCACTCTCGGTCTCTCCGCCTCCCGGACCCTCGGGGACTGCTGTCGCCGGGGCGCCGCCGCCGCTTCCCGCGCGATCCGGGCCCGGTTACCGCAGCCGCTTTCTGGACGCCAAGCAGCTGGGGCGGACCTGCGTCTCTCGGCGTGGGAACAGGTAACATCGCGGGATTTCTCGCTGAGCGAACGTGAGGGTCTCAGCCCCACAGTGTCCTTGTCATCTGGGAGTTGGTGAGAAATGCGGAGTCGGGGCGGCGTGGACGACGGGGCTCGTTCTCCTGAGTCTAAACACCCCTCACCCACCTTCCCTTCCCCGCCCAGCTCCCCAGGTTTTCTTTTCTTCTCACAGTCCGTTCTCAGCTTGACACTTTCCTGTCATCTGACACCGCCCCTTAGCACGCAAATATAGACGCATGCGCACTGCAGTCACTTTCCGCCCCTAATCAAGTCTGTCACCCTTGGCTTGTGTAGGTATTTACCATTTATTGAGCTGTTAGCCACCTTCTCGGACTGTGTGGAAACAACGTGTGTTTCCAGAGAAAGTTCCCTTGGCTGGTACTGCTCGAGAGGGTGTGCAACAGCTAATAATCTGTGTGTGTCCTCAGTGATCAGTGACATAGGCCAGAGGGAACTAGGAAACAAAATAGTGTCTCCAGTAGACTTGTAGCCTATCAATGGGTGAACGTTTTAAATAAATAATGATAAACCAGGGACATCTGATACCTGTAATAAAAGGACCTAACCTGACAGGTTAGACTGGTTAAAAGGACAATGACTTAAGTGAAGATTCAGAAAATTATTTATTTACATGTCTGGTTCTGTAGGGCGGGTGGCTTTTGTGGTATGGGTGGGTGTGCGAAGAGTCTTTGAGGTGGGAAGGATGTGTCTATAAACCCCTGAGGCAGCAGAGAGCCCAGCATCTTCCAGTCCCTGGAAAGTCAGAGCAGATTAAAGCAGGGCAAACTGTAGGGGGTCCTTGTGAGGCTGGTGGGAGGGGACCACAGGTAGGGAGGGGGCAGGCCATTTAAAGCCACGAGGAGCACTCTGGGCTTGGTGAGGCCAATGCACAGTGGCCATAGCTGGATATGGATGTTGGTCTTGTGGAAAATGCAGATTTTGATTCAGTAGTTCTAGGGTTGTTGTTGTTGTTGTTGTTATGTGCCATCGAGTCAAACCCGACTCATAGCGACCCCTCCTTGGGTTTCCGAGGCAGTATCACTACGGAAATAGGATTGCCCAACCTTCCTTCTGAGGAGTGGCTAGTGGGTTTGAACCGCCAGCCGTCTGGTTAGCAGGCAAGTGTCTTAGCCACTATGCTACCAGAGCTCCTTAGTTCTAGGGTAGGGCTTGAAATTCTACGTGGTGAATATGCTGTTAGTTTACCCTGAAAATGAGTCTAAGTAAGGATGTGAATGAAAATTAGTACAATCAGAGAAAATGATAATCGGTAGAACAGTGCTTATAAAGGAAACTGGTGGAAAGATGGTGTGAGAGAGAGAAAAGGCAGAGTTCAAGACTCCTCCCAGATTTCCCAAAAGCTTAGGGACTCATGCACAAAGGACTTGTTGTTGTTGTTATGTGCCGTCGAGTCAGACCCGACTCATAGTGACCCCTCCTAGGGTTTCTGAGGTGGTATCACTACAGAAGTAGATTACCCAACCTTCCTTCCGAGGAGTGGCTGGTGGGTTTGAACGGCCAGCCTTCTGGTTAGCAGTCAAGTGCCTTAGGCACTACACTACCAGAGCTCCTACAAAGGACTTAGGGAAGGCAAATTCTTACCTCCTTGTACTTCACAGATGGGCAGAAGGATCAAGATGCACATCAGCAGCTCAAGGCTGATTCCTGTGAGGTGGAAGTCATGCCACCACCATCTAACCTGTTTGCCAATTGTGACACCAATTGTCCAGCCCAGGGAACTCACTACTTCTCTGCTGGGTTCGATAATTCGTTGCAGTGGCCACACAGTACTCACAGACAGTACTCATGAGTATGGGGTTTATTAGTGTGGTTAGGAGCTCTGGTGGTGCAGTGCCTAAGGCCTTTGACTGCTAACCAGAAGGTTGGTGGTTCAAACCTACCAGCCACGGCACAGAAGGAAGATGGGGCAATATACTTCCATAAAGATTTACTGCCTTGGAAATCCAGTAGGGGTTGCTATGAGTCAGAAATGACTGGACAGCAATGGGTAGGTTCATATAGCGTAAAGCTGTCATCAAATCTTGAGATATCCACTTTCCTCTCTCTGTTCCCATAGTATCTAAATTTCTCTCCTTTCACTTATACACGCTTCTCATACTTGAACATCAATATGGAGAACCCAGAATCTTGTTAACAACTGGATTTTGATCCAGCAATTCTAGGATTTTGATGCCATAAGCAATTCTAAGGGCTTGATTCTGCATACTGAAAATGGTGCTAGTTGTGTTGGAAAAGATACAGAAACTAGAATGTGAATTAAGATTATATAGTGCTGTCAGAAGGAGCTCTGGTGCCTAAGGCATTTGACTGCTAATCAGAAGGTTGGCAGTTCAAACCCACCAGCTGCTCAGGAAAGGAAGATGGGGAAATCTACTTCTGTAAAGATTTACCTTCTTTGAAACCCAGTGGGGGTCACTTTGAGCCCTAAGTGACTCTATGGCAGTGAGTTTGGTTTTTGGTTTTCAAGTGTTTTTAGAGAAAATAACAACAGGAAGGATACTGCTTAGAGGGAGGGACACTTGTATGAAGCTCCTGAGAGAGAGACAGAGAGAGAGACACAGAGACACAGAGACAGACACACAGAGAGAAAAGATGTATAAGAGACCAAGCCGTGAAGGACTAGGGGTCAGCCTAGAAAAGCAGAAGTGTGGGAAGAACTAGGAGCAGAAGGAGATTATCCTTTAGAGCAAACTGAATGATTTTCTGATTTGTTGATCAAATTTATTTGTTGATATATTTGTTATAAGGTTGAAAGATGAAGTGCTTAGTAATCCTGATTTCTCAAAATCTTGGGGACTGGTGGTGTCATGGTTTGAGAATGAAAAAACAACCTCAAGGGGAAGAAAAAAAAAAAAAAGAATTGGAAAAGCAACAAAAAATACCAATCACATATTACAATGGTTTAAATGAAAGTAAAAAATGTTTACAAAGCAGTGTTGTTGTGGGTGCCATTGAGTCAGCTCTGAATCACAGTGACCCTGTGTACAACAGAGGAAAACACTGCCCAGTCCTGTGCCACCCTCAGAGTCATTGCCATGCTTGAGCCCATTGTTGCAACCAGTATACAGAAGGTTTTTTTCTCCTTCAAATTTTACAGTGATTTGTGTGAAAGTTTACAGAGCAAATTCATTTTCTACACAGCAGTTCATACACCTTTTGTTTCATGACATTGACAGCAATTCCCCATAATGTCTCACTTCCTCCCTGTGGTTACCTCTTCCCTGTGTCCTTCTTTCCTATGCAGTCCTGCCCCCTGAGCTGTCTCCCTGTGCAAATGCTGCTCTTCTATACTCTCATCATTCTAAGGAGTTACCGCTCTAAGGAGTGTATCTAAATGTTTAAAATGTTCACCCCATATGCCTGTCTGTTGTTCAGCTGGAAGCCACAGGAGTGAGTTCAGTTCCAGACCTGAAGGGCAGCTAGGGGCCATAGTCTTGGGGGTCTTACCAGAATTGATTTGGGTGAAGAGAAAGGGAGTGTACCAAAAGTGAGTCATCTAGAACAGTTTTATCTGTGTATAATTGAAAATGAATGAACTGTGAGGAGTTTACTTAGAGAACTCAAAAATTATGTTCTTGGTGAAAATTCACCTAAACAGCAGCACGTGTGTTGATCTATAAGAGAAAAAGGTACATAGGTGAACGCACAACTTCTACCTTGGACCCCAGGCTGCTGGAGGAAAGCAGGGTTCCGTTTCTAGGCTAGGCCTGTTTGCTTGTCATGCTCTGGAATAAGTGAATTCCTCCATCTGTGATGTTGCAGAAAGAGGAGGCCCTGGAGCTGCATGGAGAATGTAGGCCTGGGCTCTGGAGGCCGGAGCCTGTTCACCTTCAGTACGGGTGCCCTCAGGGTGGAGCAGGGCCCTGAGCCTGGGAGGAAGCCACGCACCTGTCACTCCTGCGGACTCACCACTCTCTGCTCCCCATCCTTCTTCCATTTCAGATCTCCATTGTGGGGCGGTGAGACTCGTCTAGTCCAGGCAGCTGGGGACCAGGGCGACCATCTTGCACATCCGTAAATCCCAGGGAAGGACTTCAGCTGCTCTGACTGGTGTGTGGACCAGACATCATTCATCTGCCTCCATCTCTCCAGTGCTCTGTTGCCACTCCCCTCCCTCTTCCTGAAGACTTAGAGGGGACATTCCATTAGACTTCTAGAAGGTGCAGCCAGGAAATGGTGAGTTCTAAGAAAACTGGATTCTTATTCATATAAATGGGTGAGGCTGGATATGAATTGTTGGGGGACCAGCTGTGTGCTGCAGGACTGTGGTTCCTCAGTGAAGCAAAAAGGTGGCTGAGGGTGCCGAGGGTTTGCGACCTGGGAGGCGTTCATGGATCTGCTCCAAGGTTACTGGGCCCTTCCTCTCTATATATGTGGCTTATCTAGATGTGGACACCTGGGGTCACCTTCCTCATGTGTCTCTCAGAGCTGGCACTTTGGGGTGTTACTATCCACTTCCTGGGCCTTGGTGCTCTGTGCTGAGTGAACCTCTGAGCAGGTTCAATTCCAGACCTGAAGGGCAGTTAGGAGCCATAGTCTCAGTGGTTCTATCAGGCTCTATCAGACCAGCAAACCTGGTCCCCACCTTTTTTATTTTAATGATTTGAGTTTTATTCTGCATTATTCTCCCACTCTATCTAGGATCTCCTACAGAGATCCCTCTCCAAGTGGTTGACAGTGGTAGCTAGGCACCATCTAGTTCTTCTGGTCTCATAATTGTATAGGCAGAGGATCGCATGGTGTATCAGTCACTTGGACTAATTGTTTCCATGAATCTTTGGTTTTCTTCATTTTTCTTTGCTCTGGATGAGGAGAGACCCTTGGTTGCATCTAGATGGCCGTTTGCAAGCTTTTAAGATCCCAGTCACTACTAGCCAAAGTAGGATGTGGAACAATGTTTCTGGGTCATGTGTTATGCCATTTGAACTTGATGTCCCCTGCGACTGTGGTCCCAATGTGCTGCAGTTTCTTGAACTGCCAACCTTCTGGTTAGCAGTAAAATGCCTTAGGAACGACACCACCAGAGCTCCGTACATGTGTATTTAAATATTTAAATGGACTGTCCACACTCAAGGAACTTACAACCCGTGTTCATGTGAATATTTCTGTTTTGTTCATGGCTATATCTGCTTTCTGAACATGAACTAGGCTGTCAGTATGACCTAAATCAGTTTTCATCCATGAAAATACCACAGTTAAGAATCTGAAGGGATGACAGCTTATCTGAGACCCAGGGCTTTGCCAGGAGAAGATCACCAGAGGTGATGTTAATTGAATACACTGTTTCCTGTGTTTCTTCTCTCTAATGTCCAGCAGGGATCTCCATTATCCATGGTGTCACTGGGGAATAACAACCAGAAAGCAACAATAAAACGGTATGTGAACAGAAATGAGTTGTAGGAATTTAGGCTTCCAATACAAATTGCCCTTGTGACCCTGGCTCAGCAGTGTTCCCTGTGGGCAACAGTAAGCATGTTATTGAATGTCTCTAGTTTTACTCAGCTAGGGACTATTTGAGGAGCTCTGGTAGCATAGTGGCTAAGACACTTGCCTGCTAACCAGAAGGCTGGCGGTTCAAACCCACCAGCCACTCCTCGGAAGGAAGGTTGGGCAATCCTACTTCCGTAGTGATACTGCCTCGGAAACCCAAGGAGGGGTCGCTATGAGTCGGGGCCGACTCGACAGCACATAACAACAACAACAACAACAACAACAACAGGGACTATTTGAAGTAATATCTGCTTAGGAAGGTCATATGATACAAATGAGCTTGTGCGTGGAAAACTCTTTCCAAAACTGTTCACAAATGTTAGTTCTTCAGTAGCTGCAACATTGCATCATTACTACATCATATAATGAATATTAGGGTTTTGAAGATTTCAGGATATGTAACCTGGCCTATTTCCCAGTGGAGGAAACTTGTGGAATTTGGGTCTAGCTGAGTTTGTTGTGACACCATTGTACCATGTTTCATTACGGATGACACAGCTCCCCCCAGCGTGTCCCTGATGGGAGGTGTCTCTCCTCTGGAGCTGTTCTGTGGGAGCACCTGGAGTGCAGTGTAGCAGCCTTTCTCTCTTCACTGGAGGAGGAAGCCAGTGGGGTTGGTGCTATTTCAGAAGGCATCTGACACACCTGGGAAGTCATGGCTACACAGGTGGTCATGACTATGCACTTTCTGAGGACTGCAAATATAGAGTGTTACAGTGGAGCATCTAGATGGCTTGTGTGTATGTCTCTGCTTCCTAGTCTTCTTGGAAAATTTTATAGGTAAAGTGTCTATACTTCAGCTTAGGTACAGAAGGAATTCTTTTGTAGTAGAAGGTACGTAAAAGAAAATGTTTGCCAATTCAAGAATGTTTACATTTATAATGTGGTCACATTGATTACTTTCATCTTGTGTCAATATTACAAAATGAGAGTCGTGACATCTTCTCCATCAGCAAACATGAGGACCTGCTGTTCTTGTTTCTGCAGAGGTTGTGCGCTTTGTCATCTTACAGCGCTGAACTGTGCTCTGTGAGGATCCATGCATTCATGATTGTGGAGGGCAACAGTCCCTAATATGTAATTAGTGTACTGTTACATCCAATACCAAAACTTGATGGTTGTTTAAAGATGTAGATCCTCATGTTTCCTGTGTCACCTGAGCTCTTTTCAACTTGTTACGTTTGCCTGTTTCCATGAAAAGGACTGAGAGGTGGTAGAACAACTGAGTTCTTGAAAAATAGGTGACTGACATGGAAAAACTCATAATTCCTCAATACAATATTATTTCTTCAGTATCAGGACCCATCACCTTTTGATGTCCTGGAGTTCAAGAAAGTATGACTAGCTCACTGCTTGGGGTCGTCAGTTTGTGTGGGTGACCCGCTCAGGACCTTGGGTTACCTGTTTGTGTGACCAGCTCACGGCCTGGGCTTCTCAGTTGGATTGTGTGATGAGCTCCAGACCTTACGTTGCCCATTTGTCTGCGTGAGCTCAGCCCCTGGGGTTGCAAGTTTGTGGGTGTGATCAGCTAGGATCTTGGGTTGCCTGTTTGTGTGACCAGCTCAGAGCCTTGCGTTGCCAGTTTGTTTGTGTGACCAGCTCAGAGCCTGGTACTTTCGTTTGTGTGTGTCGGCCCTTATCCTCCCATGCTTGTGGCAGACAAAAAGAACCACTACCGTTCTGGAGTGTTTCCCACTTGTTAATAACACATCCAGCCTTCCCTATGTGCTTTATGTTTTGTTGTGTACTCTGGTGGGTCTTATGGAAGTAAGTATAATTGTTCACAAGAAACTGTGTGTCTTACATGAATGAGAGCATGAAGAGAGAGAAGCAAGACTTCACTTGGTTGCAGTCAAACTGAGCAGAGGTGATTTCAGTGTGTTGGAAGTCTCTGAGGCAGGAGACAATCAGTGAGGAACTGAATGTAGTTAGTGAAGGGACAGAAGCAGATGACTCTCCTCTCCAGTGGACTTTGGTAGAACAGAATCCTGTGTCAAATCCTTACGTATTCTCAGTCCCATAAAACTGTCAGCTTCACTCTTTGTTCTTGTACACATTGGAGTCCATGGTACCTTGCTGATCCACGATGTGTGGGATGTTTTAGGACTCAGTGGTCTTGGAGGATGTGGCTGTGGTCTTTACCCAGGAAGAGTGGGAATTGCTGGATCTTGCTCAGAGGAAACTCTATAGAGATGTCATGATGGAAACCTTCAGACACCTATGCTCAGTAGGTAAGGCTTGCGTTATTTTTTAAATTTATGATTTTGGCGAACAAAAATATTTTATTCTCTACTTTGCTGTAGTATTCAGGCCAAGTTATGGGAATAAATTGTTAAATAAAGCAGGCATAGTCCATTGGTCTGTGTGGTTCAATACGCAGGCTTCCCCATGAACACTATGCTCTGTGTGTTAAAGTGAGTTTTCATTTCTCTCACATTTAAAATGCCCCTGCCTCTTTAAGTATTGTAAGTGTGTGCATTGGGTTCAGGGGTCATTTTATAGCACTGAGGTATTTGTGGTTTGGAACTTTGTAGAGTTTTCCAGTGTTGATTATGAGTTTGACACGCTTATTTTGGTGGAAATAAACTGACCCTATCCATTTTCAGAGACCCTGAAGAGCAAAGTATTGGCTGAGTTTCGAGAAAATGTTCATTGCTCTTCGTTGTCTCTCTTCATGATGCATTTCTACATGAGCACCACACAGCTCTACCAATTTCTTTTCCCAGAGAAGCCAGGGAAAAACAGTAGAGGTAGGAGTTGAGGACTACTGTAGCAGAAAACACCACAACAAGAAATTTTTACAGGATAGCCTTGAACAGTTGGAATTACATTGCAGTTAGTCAGCTAGGAAAAGTCTTCTGTTTTTGTGAGAACTCAACTTCACAGATAGCTGAGCTTATTTTCCTGACATTAACCATTTTTCACGCCTGTGGTCATGGAGAATCTTGTCTTCTTCTAATGGTACATGTGTATTGTGTCCAATATCTTTGTACTTAGGTCTGTTAATAACACCCATGTATGTCACCATCACTCTCAATCCTCGTGGAAGTATTTGCTGCTAAATCACTTTGTAACCATTGCCAAAGTGCTCAGTGAACTGTAGCTAAGTCCGTCTTTGTTCAAAGCAGCTTTTTTCTCCTAATAGTTCTTTTCTATTTTGTTTCATATTGTGAACGTCAACTTGAATTATTGTGTCAGTCTTTCGAAGCCTTCATGATGGAGATAAGTTATCCAGTGAACATATAATGGTACAATTCATGAAGAATAACACCTGGTCCTTCATGTTAGGAGAATTCTTTGAATCACATGGCACTAAAGATCCACATAGAAATGAAGGAAGGCATTTGAGGTGAGTGCTACTTAAATGAGAGAAAACAGTGCCTTGAGAGAAAGTTCTGAGGTGTCATGACATTAAAATAAACATATATGTTGATGTGTATGTAACAAAGGTTTGGACCCGTTTATAATGGTTTGGTAATTGCCAGTGTATATGAGGGCAGTATATGCTTTGCATAGCAAGCACATCTGTTCCCTGTTATATTTTGACCCAAATAGGAAACAGTCAGTGGTGCCCTGCTCAAAGATGGTACCCAGCTGTGCCCATTTGAATGTGTACTACTCTGCACCATCCTCCCAGTCATCCAATATGCTGCATCAGGCCCCTGGTATCTTAGGGATCCATGTGGAAGACTGGATTATTGCTAGGAGTCTGGAGAATTACACATTCAACATGGTGGGGTCAGCAGCCATCTTTGAGCAGGGCAATGCTGTTTGTTAAATACTTGAGTCACAATCTGACCATCAGCCAATTTGAGGCTATGCAATACGTACGCATCCCTCATTTAAGTAGGCTATTTTTGAGCAATGGCTCATTGTGAACCAGTTTGAAGTCCTGTTACATACAAATATATATATGTACATATTTTTATGCTTGTATACATAAACTTTGCTGTAAAATTTTTTCCTTAGAGAATTTCCACAATGCACCATTTTCATGAATGAAAGTCAGATAGCAAGGATTAGAAACCTATTCCCATTGGACACAATGATCAGAAAGTCTCATATTTTATAGAAACAGCAACACTAATGGTAGTATTTCTATGACATGTTTTAACCTGTAAAATAATAGACAAGTTGAGGCAAAATCGATACCCATTCTTGTGTTTACTAATGGTGAAGTTGAATCATATTGCCTATTTTTTAACAGAAATCCTACAGTAGAGAATCTTTTTGGAAATAATGAAGGCAATCAGTGTGGGAAAATCTTTAGCCAGAGAACAGATCTTAATGGGCTACACGGAAATTCTCCACAAGAAAATCCTTTTGAATGTTGTGAGTGTGGAAAAGCCTTCATGGATCACTCCTCACATATGCAGCATACAAGAGCTCATCCTGGATACAGTATCAGTCAGTGTAAGGAACATGGAGAAACCTGCAATTGTCCCTCTCATCTCAACACTCCTATGAGAACTCTTACTGGAAAGAAACCCTATATATGTAAGGTATGTGGGAAGGATGTCATTTGTATGTCAACCATTAAGAATCCTGTGACAACACTGACTGGTGAGAAACACTTTGAATGTAATGAATATGGGAAAGATTTCTGTAGTTTCTCAATCTTTCAGACACATTTGAGAGGTCATAAGTATGACTGTAAACAATGTTGTAAAATCTATAGTTGTCCTTCCCTTATTTTATGTAACAGATTTCATGATAGAGATAAGCTTTGTCAGTGTAAGGAATTTGGGAAAGCCTTTAGGCAAGCCTCAATTCTTATTACACATGGAAGAATTCACAATGGAGAAAGGTCTTGTAAATGTCAGGAGTCTGGTAAAGCTTTTAGGTGTTCCTCACACCTCACTAACCACGTAAGTACTCACAATAGAGAAATACACCATGAACATAAGGAATGTGAAAAAACCTCTTGGGATCCCTTAGCCCTCACTGCACATTTAAGAACGCACAGTGGAGAGGAGCCTCATGAATGTAAAGAATGTGAGAAAGCCTTTCATTGTTCCTCATCCCTCATTACACTTACAAGAATGCTTTATCCATATAAGAAATGTATGAAAACCTTTAGACAGACCACAGCCCTCTCTACACATGCAAGAACTCACAGTGGAAAGAGGCCTCATGAATGTAAGGAATGTGGGAAAGGCTTTAGTAAGGCCTCCCGCCTCACTCAACATACAAGGACTCACAGTGGAGAGAGGCCCTATAAATGTAAGGAATGTGGGAAAGCCTTTAGTCAGTCCTCCTCCCTCACTCAACATAGAAGGACTCACAGTGGAGAGAGGCCCTATGAATGTAAGGACTGTGGGAAAGCCTTTAGTCAGGCCTCACACCTCACTCAACATAGAAGAACTCACAGTGGAGAGAGGCCCTATGAATGTAAGGAATGTGGGAAAGCCTTTAATCAGGCCTCACACCTCACTGATCATAAAAGGACTCACAGTGGAGAGAGGCCCTATGAATGTAAGGAATGTGGGAAAGCCTTTACACAAGCCTCTTACCTCATTACACATGGAAGGATTCACAGTGGAGAGAGGCCTTATGAATGTAAGGAATGTGGAAAAGCTTTTAGGAGTTCCTCTCATCTCACTAAACATGTCAGTACGCACAGTGGAGAGAGACCCTACAAATGTAAGGACTGTGGAAAAGCCTATAGTCATTCTTGTTATCTCTCTGTACACTTAAAAACTCATAGTGGAGAGAGGCCATATGAATGTAAGCAGTGTGGGAAAGCCTTTAGGCATGCCTCAAACCTCACTACACATGGAAGAATTCACAGTGTGGAGAGACCTTATGAAAGCAAGGAATGTCTGAAAGCTTTTAGGCGTTACTCTCACCTCACTAAACACATAAGTTCACACAATGGAGAGAGTCCCTACAAATGTAAGGACTGTGGGAAAGACTTTAGTGATTCCTATTATCTCTCTGAACACTTAAAAACTCACAGTGGACAGAGACCTTTGGAATGTAAGGAATGTGGGAAAGCCTTTAGTTGTTCCTCATCCCTCACTGCACATGTAAGAACGCACATTGGAGAGAGGACTTTTGAATGTAAGGAATGTGGGAAATCCTTTAGTAAGACCTCATACCTCACTCAACATACAAAGACTCACAGTGGAGAGAGGCCCTATGAATGTATGCAATGTGGGAAAGCCTTTAAGCAAGCCTCATACCTCATTACACATGGAAGAATTCACAGTGGAGAGAGGCCTTATGAATGTATGCAGTGTGGGAAAGCCTTTAGTCATGCTTACTCCCTCTCTATACATAAAAGGACTCACAGTGGAGAAAGGCCGTATAAATGTAAGGACTGTGGGAAAGCCTTTAGTCAGGCCTCAAACCTCACTACACATAGAAGAACACACAGTGGAGAGTCCTTATGAGCGTAAGAAAGTGAGAAGGCCTTTAGTGAAGCCTCAATCCTTACTACATGTAGAATACACAGTGGAGAATCTTACGAACGTAAGGAATATAGGAAGGTCTTTGGTTGTTCCTCACAACTTACTTCATATGACAAACTCAAAGTGGAGAGACTACGTCTAAGTTGGATCTTTCATCCTTACTGCTATAACTTCAAACAGCAAATTTCAGAATGGCCATTAGAAAATTAAATTTCTCAGTATTTGTTATTACCTATGATTAATTATCTTATAGTGCTTACCAAATTGTGTTTTCTGTTCCAGTGTTCTATGTTAATTATGGTTATTCTGAAAGAATTAATTTTCCCTTTTCTCCCTTTTATTTATTTAACAGATTGCTTGTAACAGTACTTGCAGTCTCTGGATTACAAATGAATTCCATGCCTAAGTCTGTCTGTAAATTGAATTTATACATAAGTCAGAACAATTAGGTACAGTTCTTATGTAACATCAGTTAGTCAGATGTTTGCATTAGTATATAGCATACCTTTCCACACTCACAGAACATTAAAGAGATACTTCCAGATACACCAAAATATCTTTAACGTAATTCCATATTACAAAATAATACAATAGTAATTATGTTTTGAAGCAAGTTACAAAGTAGTACTTGTTTGTTTTTTCGATATATTGGATACCCTCTTGGTATTCTCCAACTCCTGACTTGGGGAGTCCATGAGGTTATCTTCTTGCGCACTGCGCCTGTGAATTAACTCAGTGGGGACACATGAGTTACAGGGAGAGTGTGGCTCAGAGCGAGCCTCCAAGCATAGTGTCATGGGTGCAGCAACCTCTGCCTAGGTCTGATAAATGAGAGCAAGAAGTGGGAAGACACTGCATCACCAGTGGACAAAGTATATGGGACCTGAGTTCCTGCAAGACAGTTTTTCATTTATGATAGGACTTACGAGGGATACATAGTAACTATAGATTGCGTGCAGATTGGACATTCGTAATCCAGGGAATGCCTTAATAGGCTAATATATGTCACTTGTTCTTTTCCTTTTCTTGCTTAGAGTGCCCTTTATTTGGTTATTAGAAGTTGCTTTTAGTAGGTGCCTGTATTTCTGGACATGTCCCCATTATAGTTTGTTCATTACTTTCTGACCACTGGCATCATTGAGCTTTCCTGCAGGACTGGCTAATAAAGCACAGTAGTGGGAGGTTAAAGGGAGCTTTTTGGTTGGTGAGAAACATCCATCCATGTGGAGGAAAGCCTGTCCTTGGGACCTGAAGCTCTTTACTGGGAGCCTCCAGGAGCCCTCCCCATGTGTCCTATCATTTGCATTGTTCTTAGTCATGTTTAAGTTTTTATCATGACAATGGCCTTTTCTTTATTATGTGAGTCATTCCAGAGGATTATTGAACTGAAAGGAGAACCCTAAGTAAGGGGGCTGGGGACTCAGGGCGGTGTAGTGCCTAAGGCATTTGACTGCTAACCAGAAGCCTGGTGGTTCAAACCCATGAGCCACTCCTCAGAAGGAAGATTGGGCAATCTACTTCTGTAGAGATACTGCCTGGGAAACCCATGGGCTGGGAACCCCTGATTTTGAGGCTGATATTCAGGGATCAGAGGGAGCCCTCTGACTTTTTGTTAGCAGATCGAATTGGGAGTCATTGGATATCCATACTTACAACCGGTGTCTGTTTTAACTTAGGAGGTCTAGCGTAGTATTGTGGGTGTCTGTATGGTGTGCCTGGTGTCAGAACTAAACAATTAAGGAACCTCACATTTCCATATGACACAGCTGGCAAGTGAAGCAGGTTTCTGTGGCTCCTTGGCATAGATAGTAAGTAGCTGAAGCCATTAAGCATCACCTGAACTTAAAACTTATTTCCCAACTAATGTATAGTATGATTGGAGGAATTGTGGAGAAGATTGGCAAATGGATTGAAGTAAACTGATGTGTATACATAGTTAGGATGCCAAAAATAATTTAATGAATAAGCAAATAAATCAATAAATGAATCCATGTAGAAGGAATCAAATGTGGACTTCCTCAATTTCCTGTCTCTCCTTACAGTATTTTCTGCTCCCATACCCACCCACGTGTCTATGTTCTGCATTACTGTGAACAATGTATCCCTTCCCATCAGCTCCAGGTCCCTCTGTTTTCTGATCCATCATGCCACCAATCATTTACTATCCATCATGTTCAGTATCTCCTGACTATTTGTTCTTAGTATCAAAACCAAGGAAGCTCTGGTAGTGTAGTGCCTTTTTATCATGTTTTTATCATGACAATGTTTTTATCATGACAAAGTTTTTATCATGACAATGGCCTTTTCTTTATTATGGGAGTCATTCCAGAGGATTATTGAACTGAAAGGAGAACCCTAAGTAAGGGGGGGCTGGGGACTCCGGGCGGTGTAGTGCCTAAGGCATTTGACTGCTAACCAGAAGGCTGGCGGTTCAAACACACCAGCCACTCCTCGGAAGGAAGGTTGGGCAATCTACTTCTGTAGTGATAACCACCTGGGAAACCCAAAGAGGGGTTGCTATGAGTTGGGTCTGACTCGACGTCATATAACAACAACAATCAAAACCAAAATGTTGGCTGTTTGAGCTTACCTGACACTTAATGGGAGAAAGATGAGGCTGTCCTCCATCTGTGCCTTGACATTTTGTTGTACATAGCAGACACTGGGTGGCATCCTCTCATCTCTCAATAGTGGATGTTTATAATCTGTGGAACCTAGCCTCTGCCCTCTTCATCCCTCATGGGGTATCCCTAAATGCATAGGGGCTGAGAATAAAACCTAGTGTTCTCTCAGCTTGTCCAGGCTTCACAGAACTTCCAACTCTGGTACCCAAGCCTTATTTTAATGCAAGACCAATCACTGATTATATTCCCTATGATTCCTAAATGGGACAGTAATATACCCCTCCCCATTTTATGATTTTAGCTCTTTTAAATTTTTACTTTTTCTTTCAAAGACACTCCCCTTTTATCAGTTGTGGTGGATAAGTTTGTGGGTCAACATGACTGGGCCTGGTTGAGTGGCTGGGCAGCTGGTGGTATTTATTCCCCACGATGAGACTGGTAGTCAGCTCCATGGTGGGACTTACCACAATCAGCTGAGTAGCAGCTTTAGGGATGTGTTCTGCTTCCTGTATATAAGCAGCAGCTTTGGGAATGGTCTCTAGCTTATGGCATGCTTGAACCCTGCATGTAGCCATGTCATCATTCAGCAGCCTGCCATGCTCTGCCGACCTTGGGACTTTCAATGGACTTAAATTAGTGGCCTGCCATGTGTTTTGGTAACATCGGGATTGTACCATTTTACTTGTCAACTTTGGGTTTGTCAGTCTCAGCAGCCAGCACCTGTCTGAGTGAAGAAAAGCCTCTAGCTCCAGCGGGCTGAGAGCAGTAGGCAGAGCTGGACCCCAAGGTTGAGGGGCTTACCCAATCCCTAGAGCCTGGCACTTGAACTTGGACTTAAAGCCTCCAAATTGTAAGAATAAACTCCTATTTGTTCAAGCCATCCCATTTGTGGTATATTCCTGTCAGAGTTGCACTGGGTAACCAGAACATCAGTCATTCTCAAGTGGGAGCCATTTTCTACCTGAGAAGGTTTCTAATACTATCTGAGACATTTTTTATAGTCATAACTGGGAGGGAGACATGTCCTAATAACACCTAGTGTTTTAGAGGCTGGAGTAGTTAAGATTGTATGTCAACTTGGCTGGGTCACAGCTTTGAGTGCCTAGGCATCTGGATGTAGTTATTCTCCACGATGAGATTGGTAATGAAGTCCATGGTGGAATCTGCTGTGAGCAGCTAAGTAGGTGCCTTCAAGGTGTGGCTTACTTCCAGTAAATAAGTAGAAACTTTGAGAAAAGTCTCTAGCTTTTGGCACATCTGTATCCTGAATTTGGTCAAAGCTTCACTTCAGTGACCTGCTGTGTTGACTGCCAATCTTGGGATTGTTTCTGGAATTGAAGTAGTGGCCTTGCATGTTGTCTGCTCATCTTGGCACTGTGCCGTTTTATTTGTCGATCGTGGGTTCATCAGCTTCAGCAGCCAGCAGCCATGTGAGTCAGAAAAAGCCTTCAGCTCTAGTGGCCCGGGAACTAGAGGCAAAGCTGAAGCCCAAGGTTGAGGGACCTTCATCTAGAGTTCTTGCCCCTGGAGCTGGCAATTTGAACTCGGAGTTTTCACCTTCTAAATGGTAAGAAAATAAGTCCCTGTTTGTTAAAGTCATCCATTTGTGTTATTTCTGTTATAGCAGCACTAGAGAACCAAGGCAGAGACCAAGGATGCTGCGAAACGTCCTACCTTGCTGTCTGGACATGAATAGTAATTGATTTTGCCTCCAAATATGGAGGTTGTTGACACACTGAAGAATGAAGCTGGAAGCTCCAGGATAATAATATGAGTTTTATTAAGGGCTTACATAGGCGATTCCCTGATTGGCCTCTCTGAGGGAACTAGGAATTTTTTGTGTGTGTGTGATTTGGGTGAAGGTTTACAGACCAAATTTACTTTCCATACAGTGGTTCACATATACTTTGTCTCATGACATTGACCACAGTTTACCACAATGCAACAGCTCCCCTCCCACTTCTTCCCCATAGTTACCTCTTCTCTTGTGCCCATCCCTCAGACAGCCCTCTGAGCTGTCTCCCTGTGCATAAGCAGCCCTTCTTTCTCCCATGATTGTTCTCTCCAAGGAGTGTATCTACTTGAGGTAAATGTTCAACTCATATGCCTGTCTTTTGTTTGGCTGGAAACCACAGGGGTGGGTTCAATTCCAGATCTGAAGGGCAACTAGGGGCCATAGTCTCAGTGGTTCCACCAGGCTCTATTGGACCAGCAAACCTGGTTCCCCCCGCCCTCCCCCCCCTTTTTTTTTCCTCCGAATGATTTTGAGTTTTGGAGAACTACGGATATTTATGGTAGCATAGTGCCTAAGGCACTTGACTGCTCACCAGAAGGCTGGCGGTTCAAACCCACCAGCCA